CGTTGCAGCCGGGTTTTAAATCGTTAGTGGCCTGGAGCTTGAGGGGGAATCACAATGGTCACATCCCTTTTGATACATGACAGTGCGTGGCGGGCGGGGCGGAGCGAATAAAAGGTACCATCATAATTTCTTTAGATTATATAAGTTAATTAACTTTAGAAGTCAAATCAAGCAACACATAAAAGGTACTAAATTGTATGTCAAAGAAACGCATTTGTCATAAAGGGATTATTATTTAAATGAAGTTTTGTTATTAGTAATTTTAAATACAATATTATTATATAATTATTACAATACTGTACTTTGTTTCTTTTAAACAATCAAAAACCTTGAATTTAAAACACTAAATATTATAGTTTAGAAAGAAATTTGAGCTCTCTTTTCAACCTCACTACGTATTTTTTTTAAATATAAAAGCTGTTGCCTCAGATGTGTTATCACTGAGTATTAGTACCCCGTTTTCTTGTGTAAATATTAATGATATGTTAAAATTAATAGAACGAAACTATACCTCACGATATTGTTTTTACTATTTCGTTCTACTACCTGCAGAAGATCGTTGTTTCATCAGATGGCTCGGGCTATGTGATAAATCTGAGTCTTACGTTATACTAATGTATACAAATGCAATGACTGCAAAACATGCTCATGACAACAAAAACCTGGTATCTTCAAGATCAGCTCTCTACTTTTTTAAGTATGGCGTATGAGGGTCTGTGTGAAGCGTTCCTGCAGAACTTTTGCCAATACACCTGAACAATCTTTCCGTGTGAATCGCTTACCAGCTCATTTTACCAACGCCTACCAGTTTTTTTACTGAATCCAATGCATCGGAGACATTGTGTGAAGAACAGTTCCAATGCTCCAAAATCAATGATTGAAACCAATAGTATTTTTAGTATATCCTAAACATGGTTTAATTATTGTTGGTAAAAAATGAAAAGTATTAATAAAGTGGGAAATACTTAAAATTCTGGTCAGAAGAGAAGTCAATGATGAATAACTAAAAAAAAGTTGTTACGATTTTTTAAATAATTTATATTTATAATGGATATATTGTTTACGTATTAGATGAATTTATATTAATCATTGTATTTCTCTATCTTATAAATACTTTTCTTTTGATACCTTTTCTTCCCCCAAATGACTACCTGATTAAACCGAATGTACATTTCAACACACCGAATATCTCAAATTCTAACCACGTCCTATAGCTTTTGAAGATAATAATGTACGTTTGAGAGACAGTTATATAATTACATTAACTTTCGTTTATTTAATCTTTAAAAAATTGACAGTTTCCATATCAGCAGAAAGAGGAAAAGTTCGAACAGAAAGACAGTAAATAATTTACTCTTCTTGTTTACTTTCATTTTCATGAAATTTACGAAGGTAGAGTTAAATGCAAATAAAATACGTGAAAATGCCTCTGAAGTACTGATTGTGGGAATTTATTTTTTTAGAATAGAAACATTTTTAGGAATTTTATTATCATTTTCTTATCTTGAAGAACATAAATACATAAAAAATTCATTTAGCGAATCTATGAATGGTGCAAAGTATCCGAAACAGCTCACAATACTATATTTTTAAATATTAATATTAATATAGCGTTTCATGTAGTTCTAAAGAAAAAATATCCTTGCATAATATAGTCTCATCATGCTTTGTTGTTTCAATTACCATCGCCAGCAAGTGCGCTGCGTAACATTTTATAATGTACTTAGGTTTAAATAGAAACATTAGCAAACGAGTTTATTCCAAGTAGCGGAACACATACTGTTCCTAACAGAACACACATGGCATTCCCAGAAGTACTCCTCGCCCAACAACTGACCTCACTTGGCACAATGCAAAAGTAAGTGACAGTAATTACCAATAACAATAATAAGAATACCTGTGGCCGTATATCATTCGTGTAAATTAATACCAAAAGTATATTATTAATGAAAATATTCTTTATTTTTCGATATTGATACCTACGTGACCATATCACTTGACGGAAAGAATTAATGTGATACTAATAACTAATTTGCTCAACTCCCCTTGCATGTGCACAATGTGTATGCATATACAAACTTATATTTATTATCATTATCAGCTCGTAAGCCTGTTCCGAGCAAATTTAATTTATAGGTTAACCGTTAATTTCTATATGAATACCTACTTCTACGCATGTTTCGTTATAACAAAATACACTGATATGACTGAACAATGGAATTAAAAACCAGGACTATAACTGCAATGCAAAGGCACTAGAAAATGTATTCAGATCTGGAACTATGGTATTATTTTATGTAGGAAAGAAATATAGACATATTTTTCAAATGCGACATATGCGAAAGACGAAATGATTTCAGACAGTATAAAGAAGCGC